GCTGAGCCTTTAGATTGTAAACTTGTAGAAGCAGGAACTATGTTTATTTTTGGTGTTTGTACGGTGCCTAGGACAGTGGAACTCATGGGCACTGCCTCCATGAAAATTAATAGTAACAATAAGAACATAGGGCACAATCCTGCTCCCATTAGCCTCAGTGGGTGCATCTACATGTGCGCTTTAATGTACAGTATCCTATTTTACTGTGCTTTAAAGCAGCATGTAAACTACTGTGTTATTAGGCTAAGGCACAATAAAATAGGCTACTGCACATTAAGCATCACCTAAAAAGCCTGTGCTTGCGCAGGCAGCCTAATGCACATTAGTTTAGTACTTCACATTGGAGGTACTAAATTTAATGCACATTAGGAAAAGTGCATTAATGCACGTATAGACGTGCCCAGTGAGAGATTTTTTGCTATTGGCATCAATTGTGGTAGGTCATGCACTCTGTCTCTGATCTAGCAAAATACAAAGTCACATGAGTAGTCCCACAAGAGGATCACACTTGTGCATAAAAAATGGGCCTCAGTGAAACTACTAATGTACTAAAATGCTTGCAATCAAGGTCAGCCATGTGTGGGTATGTTGCCCTCTGTTGGCTGGTTACAGAACAGAGGGATCTTTCTATAGCTGACACAGGTGGGAAAAGCCTGTTCTGCAGGATCAGGATTCTAGTCTGAGCTCTGCAGGTTCTGTGTTTTTTTATTATGGGGAAGGGATAATCTCTCCAGATATAGGTTGTCACCTTACATGATAAGGCTGATTTTGCTTCTTAATGTATTTCTTTAGGAGTAAAAAGCCCTTAAGCTTCCAAATATTTATGGCTGTAAGCATTAGGTTCTCATTGATAACTGGAATAGCTTTTTGGAATAGAAGTACTGGGCTCCCAGCTCCCACCCTGAAATCCTCACTGAGCCCAAATTCCTACTTAATGGATATGTGGGGTTTCTGGCCAATTGGATCCAGTGGGATGGACTGTCATATCGGTCAGCCAAAAATGAGCAGTTGTCTTTTCATACCTGTTTCTCTGTTAAAAAAAGTAAGAGATGGTATGCTAAACCAGCTGAGTTGAGATGACCTTTCGGATATGTCAGTGAATTGTCCTCTGAAGAGATTTCAGTTACAAGCACAGATTGTGTGACACCACTCAAGTATTGCAATAAATCTTCTGCCTCCCAGTCACTGGACAGGTCCAGTAATTTGGGAAGACAAGAAGAAAATCTGCTTATGGTGCCAAGTCCTGTGCTCACCTATAACTGTATAATTCCTGTTCAGGTTGTAGCAACTTGATTAAATTAGTTTCTCCTCTTCTTCCTTTGGAAAACATTGAGTATTCCTCTCTCTCTGTCACTTTGGAAAAACAGCATTTCTCTAGCGAATTCACACTTAGCAGTTTAGAAAGATGTTGTCTTCTTGACACATTGGACAAATTCTTTATATGGCTTATATCAGCCTGCAGTTGAAATACTTTTAAAAATGGAGCACACAACACCAAATTCTGATGCACTTTGAGCATCTCCATGTAATCAATGGCCTACTTGCCAAGTAAGATATTACTTATCGTGGGCAAAGACATCAAAATCCAGCCCTCCCTAAGAACAGCACTGCTTTATGGTAATAAAATGCTTTCATTCAAGTATCCTCACAGCGCTTTACAAAACCTAGTTCATTAAATTTAAGAGCTTATTCTAAACATAACAATTTAGAATAAATGGAGATGAACAATTTTAAAGGTTTTCCCAAGCAATGTCTACAAAGGCGTATTTTTCTTTCAGAGAATTAAATTATCCCCTTGTCCCTCACACCAAAAAAAAAAGTTGTTCAGACTTTTATCTTTCCTCATCAAACTGTAAACATTTCTTTTCAGCCTCTTTTTCCTCTCAGATTTTTATTCAAAGAGCTGAGGAAGCTCTTGCTCTGCCTTGAAATTTTATTAAAAAAAAAGGAGGGGGGGTAAAGGCAGAGAGAAGGAAAAAATCCCTTTTCCTGACTAATACTAATAATACAGGTCAAAATGTCAGTCTATCTACAATTAAATGGAAAACAAAAAAGGTTTTCCCTTTTTTCCCACAGTACAATAGCACTGGAATATAAATTACCAATGAAGATGAAATAATACTTCAAAGCACATGGGGAAAGGCAGCACAGTGTTTACAAAGTATTTTTAACGGCACGATGAAACATTGAAGACGACGGTAACCCATGGACTTCAGGGGGTGTTGGTGAATAGTCTAAAACTAGCATGCGGTAGGATTTTAGGTCCCTATAGTGTATGACCCCATGATATGCTTTGTTTAACAAGGGCAGCTGCAGTTATCAACAGATGTTTCGGCAATAAATAATTGGTATCATCTCGGAAAAGACTCATCTACCTGGGGAGAGGGCATAATGCTGAAAACACTGCTCCACTATTACAGCCACATTAATCTCCCATCTATCCAGGTTTCTTGGGGAGTTTACTGCAGGTGTTTATCCTGGGAGAGAGCAGACAAACCCTCCAAAGTTAGAAAGCTTTGTGTGTGTTGTAAAGGAGGTCGGCCTCTGCCATAAATTTCTGTCTAAGGCCACACACACAAAAAAAAATCATGCACAAAAGAATAGAAAAGGAGAAAAAGAAAACAGCAAAACAAATTCTGAATTACAATAAAAATCTCCCTCACCAGTGCAGTGTATAAAAATGAAACCTCCCCTCTCATCAGTAACAAGAACAGTGACTAACACAAACTTCCAAATTGCTTTTCTAAAGCTAATTATACTCATGTATAAAAGAGATTGAAGTTCTTGGATACAAAACTTGCTGTCCTTACTCGGATGGCACATCCACTGAGCCACACAGATGAAGGATGAAATCCTAGCTTCCCTGAAGTCTATGGGGTTGGATTTCCTACAGGTCTCTCGGTCCTGACTCCTCTTTCACTTACACCAGTGTAATTCTACTGTTTAGTCCTGATTTACTTCAGTGTAAGCAGGAGGAAAATGTGGTGCCTCAGCTTCACTTTGCATCCCAGTTTTAAAGGGATGTCATCAACCTAAACACCGCATTTCCATCTGCATTTCTTACCCACCTCCCATTTTGTTCACAAGATTAGAGAAAATAATATTTTCCTCTACTTTTTACCCATTTTGTTCCAGCTGAAGCTCATCACTTCCCAGGCTGGCACATTTCAGGGACCCCATATGGTCATATCCTGAAAATTCATACTTGAGGGAGCTTCCTTTTCTTACATGAGAAGCTGTATCAGAGGGGATTCCTCTCTGTATACAAATACTTCTGGGCAGGATGAGGTCTCCAAAGAGATTCCGTCAAATAATTTTATCCTCAAATGGATGGCTTGAACCTACCAGCCCTTGCTCATTTGACTGCTCGTTCTGTGTTAGCAGTCCCATTGATTTACATCAATTATATATTCTTTTCCAAATCTGGTTTAATAAAATTTTACTTGTGCACATACTTTCAGAGTTTGATTTCATTTTAGTGCAGAGTATTTAAATCCTCCCAGAAAAATCTCATCTATTGTTGGAAGCCCCAGTGCAACAGCATGGTGTTAGACCAAAAGGATTTTGTAAAGTGATTTTAAAAAAATATTTTGTTCCAGTTTACTGAATTAAGGAACTGTTTGTGCACACTGCTTCTTGTTGCTGGAGTTTGCAAATGTATATAAACAGTCTTAGAAGAGGTAAAACCATCAAAGCCCTTTTAGGTTCTGCATACTCTTTTTCATTAATAATTGAGATACTTTCCTTGTGGCACTGTCACAAATTTTTTGTGTATATGGAAGATGTCTCTTGTTTCACTCACATTATTTTGCCTGGGAGCATAGTACCCACTGCCTGCCCTGTTCATCAAGACTTATTTCCCCACCTTGAGCTCTGCTGTGTATGTTAAGGCATTTTTTCCCATTACAAGGGACAGCAAGAGATTCTCTTAATGATTGTTATAAAGGCTGTTCAGTGGACTGGTGAGCTGAGGAAGTGATAGAAAACCCAACCTGAGACTTCAAGCTGAAGTCTGACACAGCATAACAGAGACATCCAGGCTAGGGACAGAAGTTACACATAAGCCAGTATAAGTGATTGGAAACTGGTTCAGATTTGTAACACAACAGAAGTTCAGTGCACATAAACCGCTTTCAAATTGGCCAAAACCAGCTTAAGATAAACCTGGATGGATGTAGTATCAGACTTAACTGATTTAGGTTAAATCAGTTTATTGAACTTCTGTCTCAGATCTCCTCCAGATTCAAGTTAACTCATAGTCCCCCAAGCTCCCAGGATGCTTTGCACCTCCAGTGCAAATGCCCTCTCGCAGAGTGGGCAGGCTAGGCTTGGCCCAAGCTGTCTGCTCTAGCCAAGCAGGGAGGTGTGCTCTAGAGCCTCCTGGCTTCTGGCCTGAGCCAGTGAAGGTATGTGGCTGCATTTCCAGAATTGAAATGAATGTCTGTTCACTTGCTTGTCAGTGCAATCCATGCAGCTTAGACTAACCTGTGAAGATTGAATTGATTCAGTCTCAGGTTTTTTTGACTGTCTGTACTTAGCCCCAAACTAAAGGCCTAATCATATACTGATGTCAGTGACAGAATTCCTACTGATTTCAATTAAGGACCAGCTCCTTGGTTTCTGAGGACTGCTGTCCTTCATTCTTTCCCCTTTTATCATGTCCTTCCTACCTGGAGATTAGTTATTTAATGAACGCTGACGGCAACAAAACCCTGTCTCCAGTACATAAATTAAAATCACAAAAAGAATAATTCCAAGCTGCTCATAAATATCTATCTAGGAAAGTAACAGTTGAAGAGATGGAGTCCTAACTCTAGTTTGTCTTTCTGTGCATTTGTGACTGCCCCTTTTCTGACCTATACTTCCTCATTTCAGTTTGTCTGCTAAAACTCCAGTGAGGAGTGGTGTCATGGGCATGCAGTGAAGATCATTTACTAGGACACTGTACATTCAAGCATTGCATTTGTAGTTGGAAAGGACAGGTGTGTTGAACTTCATACCAGCAAGTCATGCAGCCTTGGACCGATTATATCTTGCAGGTTTGTTTTGTCTTCTGGGTTTAGGGCTTGTTTGTACTGCCACTTCTCCGGCACAAAGGGCCACTTCATTTCCTTTGCCTCTTCGATAAGGGTCCTTAGATCATCGGGGAGCAAAGCTGAAAAGGTCAAAGTGCATGTAAGGAAATGACAGGTGATTCAGCGGTAAATGTTGTCATGTAGCACCTTGCTTCCAAAAAGCATTCCCCTCCTGGTTTGCACCTTTTCTCAATTGCTAAGAGTCCTTTATTCTTGCCACAAGACTAATAATGAGAGGTTGCCTATCATCAGTTACTTTGCTCTGCTGTGCCCTGCAGGTAAATTAGAGCTGCCAGCCATTAAAAAGGTTTTTAGCAGGAAGTAAAACACTTCAGTGGCCATCTGTGCGTGAAAAACTAGAGAAATGAAGGAAATGTTTTCCCTGAAGTGAATAGAGGATTTTTGACAGAGTGCATGAAGCCAATGGTAAACTTATCTGCTTTGTAAAGGACCATATTAAGATTCTATTGATAATAATAATAATAATAATAGACCATGATAATTAGAACATTTTTTTCAAATCTGGGGGATGGGCTGTACACAGAGATTTGTCAAAGCTGAATAACAATAATATGTATTCAGGAATGATTTTTTGATGAAAAAGATAAGGTTGTTGGCCACAAGCCATCTGTCTTTCTCTAAAAGAAATAACTGGGGATCACAGTCCCAGAACCAGGTTGAGTGCAATAATAGGTCATGTTCAGACATGCAGGCACATGTGGTTTGTGGTTCTGCAAACTTCTTTGTGGTGCCCCAACCCACACACAGGGAATGTTGAAATGTGCTCCATGTGGCAAATCTGCAGCATGGGGCCAAAATTTGCTACTGGGAAATCCCAGTACCAAAAGAAACCCAACCCAAGCCCAGGAAAAAAAGTGGCATGGTGCATGTGACAGAAGACACAGAGGCTCAGTCCTCCAGGGAGATGCTTTGGCTGCTGGCCAGAGCGTCTCCACTTCTGCAGTCATGCCCTGGCTTCTCCAGCATGCTGGGAGCTGGAAGAAACCAGGCAAGGGCAGTTTGCTTGGAGTGGAGCCCTCACCAAAGCACACTTGCAGGGGTGTACGCAGCAGCAAAAACGTAGCAGCACAAATTTTGGACATATTGTCCAAAGTGCTCTACACTGACTGAACTCTGCTCCTGCTGTAGTCAATGGGACTTCAGTGGGAACAGTTAGTACAGTGCTGTCCTTTTGAAAACCACTCTTATGGTACCTTTCATCTCAGCTTCTCCTAATGATGTATACAATACCAGATTTACCTGAATCTAAAATAACTTTAAAAATATCCCTAATAACTAGATTCTGTACAGTGGCTGGAGGGGTACAGCAGTGGCAGGACCTCACACAGACGCTGCTGGTGCTGGCGGTGGTGGGGGGTGTGGGGGTGGCAAGTACCGACCAATGGTCGGCGACCACCTGCAGATGTCGCCGGCAGGGTTGGCCGCAGCCAGGGGGGATCGCTGATTGCCCACAGATCCCACTGGTGGTGTTGGCAGCAGGGGCGAGTGGCGACCACCCACAGGCGCCCCCAACAGTGTTGGCAGCACATTTTGTAGGGGCTGCACCGCCACGCTCAGGGCGTGCACGTGCACATGCACTCGCGTGCACCCCTCACTCATCACCCCTGTTTGTTATAATTTTTCATGTATAGAATCTAATTAGTGGAAGGTCATCTGAAATCCGACCCCTCGCTGCTGTGGTGGGGAAAGCAGTGGCGGGGGATGAAGCGCTAGGCCCCAGCCCCTTGCTCCCCTGCTCGTCTCCATGGGCCTGTTCCTGCCCCACCATGCATCCCCCTGCTGTCTGCCCTTCCATGCCCGTGCCTGCTCCGCATTCCCTGCCTCCTTCACCCCCTGCTCTCCCCTGCAGCCTGTCCCCCCACTCCCTGTCCACCCCTTACCTTCTGCTGCAGTTCTGCTCCTCCAGGGCAGCCAGCAGCAAGAGTGGCTCAGACCAGCCTCAGCCTAGCCTGGCCAGGGTGAAGCAGCAGCAGCAGCTTCTGGCTCTGCTGGGTTGGGGCTAGAAGAACCAGAGCTGGAGCAGAAGGTAAGGGGAGGAAAGGGGTAGCTGGGGGGAGTGGGAGGTAAGGGCAGAAGAGGGAAGGCAGGCACAGGCATAGAGAGGGCAAGGGGTGGGAGGGCAGGCTGCAGGCTCCCCCCCCAACCCCTGGTCTCCCCCAGGTTCCTCCTGGCTACATGCTCCCTGCCCCCCCAAACAAGCCATTCAGGCTTGGGGCAGGCAGCGGAGCCCAAAGCTGGAACTGAGCCACTCCCTGCCCCAGGCGAGTATTCAAATCCAAGGTGAGGCTTTATTTTCCACATGCTGACTGTGGGGAAAAACCCTTGTCTTGGATTCAAATAAATATAGTAAGTATATTTTATTTATCTGCCCTTCAGTGACTTGCCAAATATTACCAAGTGAGTCAGTGGCAGAGTTAGAAATAGAATCCAAGCCTTGCGACTCTCAGTCTTCTGTGCTAACTATCAAGTGACGCTAACTCCCAGTGCTAATAAAAATAGATTAAGCCAGGGATTATTGACCAGCTGGGGTTAATGGTGATCATCAGCTGCATAGCTGGCCCCATCTGGTCATTAATTCCCAGGAAAAAGCCATGTGTTGAGATCATCATTGCTTAATGAGAGAAATGTACTTCTGGATTGCTACAAAACTGTAATATTTTAGAGATTATAATAATAAATTGAAACATACCTTTCCAACTCGCACTAAAACCAACTGTCTAACAGCTAGATCTGTTGGCTTACAGAATAGATTTCCTTGGAAAATGGCAGACATTCAGGGCCAAAGTTTCAAAAATTGCTTCTAAAATTATGCCCACATTCTTGCACATGATTTCCCACCCATGCGTTCTCAGATATTGCTTTAGTTCTGAGTGTGCAGCATAGTAATGCCATTATATACTGCTGGTGCTCCACACACAGCCAGGTGTCTCCAGTGTTCTTAAGTACTGTCTGAACTACTTATTTCCCATTGCTGCAAACCACGGAAAGGTGAATAAATATTATGGATGGATGGGATAAAGGAATATTTAACAATTGCTGTCAACCTCTCCATGATGATACTAGTAGCACATGAAAAGGGCTGAAAGAAATATGGCTCAGCACAAGAAATACATGGACCTACCTTTCTACAGGGTGGTCTGAAGTAAATTAATACATGAAGAGAGCCCCTTCCCAGTGGAGCATGGTGATGCCTGGTTGGAGACACCAAGTCACAGCAAGTGCTTTTCTGCCACTTTGCATGCAGTCCCATAGGACTGATAGCTCCAAGGGAGGGCCTTTAAAGCTTTCAGCTTCTCTAAAAGCCTAGAAAACTAAGAAGGTAACAGAGACACTAGACTCAGCTTCTCCTCCAGAAAATACCTTGGAACATTGGCTCAACCATCTGTGTTAAGAGAAATTTGATCTGCACCTTCTGGTACTCACTTGCTTTACCTCTAGATTGCAGCTTACCCATCTTTCCTGTGTTCATCCTTTGCTGTGCCCTGCTCCTCTCCACCTTCCTCATATCTCCCATATGAAAAACCCCACAATGCATTAAATATTTCTAATACTTATAGAACTATAATAGCATTAGGCATAGTAATTAGTAAAAATTGTAAATATTGTGGTCTGGATCATTGGTGGGTTCTCTGTGTGCGTAACTGTAACTGTTACTCTTATGCTCCTCTATTTTTGTCACATTCTTTTACATCTTGCTTTCATTTGGCTCCTATCCTGCGGGTGAACCTTGCTTCTACTTAGCTGCAGTTAAAAAAAAAAAAGGAGTGAACACAGACATCAAGAACCCTTTTTTGCTCTACTGGTTAGAAACGGATTGAGGCAACATTTGCAAAACCATCTCATTGACTAAAAAGTCTCATTTTTCAAAAGTGAGTACTCAAGCACCTAGGAATCCAAGTTCCAATGAAAGTCAGTGAGGATAGGGGTAGAAACAGACCTCACCTAATGTCACATTTGTATCACCATAAATTTTGTTATGGCAGCACAAATTTTTATGGTGCCACATCAGTGGCTGACAAAAGGTAGTGTACAAATGCTGCTTTACTGTTGCAGACATCTATTTGGTCCGTGGTGGGAGAGTGTGAGGAGTCCAGAGCTTCCCTCACTGTCCAGCTGCCCCAGGCAGGTGCTCTGGGGGCTTGTGGGGCCCAATCCTGTGCCCCCTGGGAATTCCCCAGGAATTATACACAGGATCAGGCCCCTCAAGCAATGTGAGTGCCTGCCTGGCTTTCCCTGCTTACAGAGACATGAGCCAAGGAATCTCAGGGCACCTCCCTGTAAACAGGGTAAGTCAGGGTTCGCTGCTTATGGGCACCTACCCCAAGATCTCCAGGGGTATGTCTCTGTAAGCAGAGAAAGCCTGCATTGGTCCCGGCATGGAGACATGGGACCCAGGGAATTTTTGATGCCCTATGCCTCCATGCTAGGACCTGCACTGACCTGTGCCTCCATGTGAAGCATGGGTCAGCGTGGATCCTGGCAAGAAGGTGTGGGGTGCTACAGGACCCAGGGAATTCCTTGCACCCAGTTTCTCCAGACTGGGACCTGTGCCAGGTCACATACCGATCCATGTTTTATGTGCAGGCATGGGTTGGTGCAGGTCCCGGTGTGGAGGTACAAGGTGCTGGGTCTCAGCACCTTGGCAGTGAGGGACACAGGAAATTCCCAGGCAAAGGGAACATGTTGCCCATTGTTCTGCTTCAGGCAGGGGCCCAGTGTGGGACAACAGGTGATGTGTGTTTTGCCCAATAAAGCAGATCATCTATGATGGGTCATATCCCACCATGGCTGATCCATTTTGTTTGGCAATGTCTGTTTTTACCCTTAGATTGTTTTTGGGATTATGCATTTTTATGGGCTTGCAATGTGCTCCAACCTGATTGGGACCTCAGGGTAGTACTACAGTAGAAATAATCACTCTAAATACCGTTACTGTATTGTGTTATTTTGTAACAACATGTAACGCAGTCCCCAAATTGTGCAGTTAGTGGCTCTGAGTCATCTTGAACTCTTCAGATTACCCAACCCCTAAAGTAATGGATTTTTGGCATGGCATTGTCATCACCATAAGTCACGTAAATGCACTTTCAGTTACTGTGATAGAGGGGGGAGCTAAAACTGCATTGATGCTGATTGGAAGGATTTGTAATTTTTTTTAAAGAAAAGAAGATAACCATTCCATCTCCCTCAAGTAAAGTAAAATGAGGATTTTCTTTTCCCCCCATTTATGTGTGTTTGGCTTTCAGTTCTTCTCGTGTTTGGTCTGAAAAAGCCAGGCTAACAAAGGCAATGTCTGGGGGAGGGGGGGCGAAGAAACCCCTCAGTGTTTGTGTTCAGAGAATCCCCTTGGCTCAAACTGCTGCCATAAGTGACCCTGTACTAATGCCATTCTGTGGAAGCACATGTGGGCCTGATGAATCAGTTATATATCTCACTCTGATTGTTACTGGTATTTAAAAACCACCTGCCAGAGGCAAGGGGATCTGCAATCTGAGACCATCAACCAACCTGCAGGTCGGGGAGACACACACTTTGCTCGTAATTACGATTACTTATTAATATTAGTGTCACTGACCCACTGCAAGAAGATCCTTTTTGCTTTCAGGCAGCTCGTGGGAGCTGCTGCTTTCAAGCAGCTTCCCAAGAAAAGCTTGAGCATCACTTTGGTCTCTGATCACCCATTTCCTGAAGCAGTTTACCTGAAGGGCCATGTCTAATTCAGTGATTATAAGGGCACTGATTTACCTTATCTGGAACTAAATTGACCATTTCTCATGCTCTGTGGCCCTTAATAGGAGAAAAGAGCAGGAGGAGGAGAAAAAATAAAGCACTACCTGATTAGGAGCTCAAGAGCCCATGCTGACAAGTGATAATAAAGCTTAAAGGAATTTGTGATGAGAAAACAAAGTACCCTTTGTTGCGGGGTGAAGGGGAAGGAAAAGAAAAGAAAATCTTCCCGTATCTATAACCTATGCATCACCCGCAGCCATAGTCAGACACAAACATAGGTGCTGTCCAGCCAGCTGACCCCTAGTAAGAGCACAGGATTTGCATGTGTCCCAAAGAGAATAAAATACAAAAAAAAGAAGTTTAGCATGGATTCATGTAAAGTAAGGACTCAGGGAAATTATACAGCACTAAGTACAGCAGACAAGTGAACTAGATGGTGAGAGCCATGCTCTGGCTCTGATTAAAAAAAAAACTTGAAAAAAAATCTCAACTTCAATTGTTCATCTTTTCCTTTTTGTTCATTAAAAAAGTGATTTGACTTTTCTCTGAGGCAAAATAGAATACACAGAATCCTAGGGGGAAAGACAAATGCCTCAGACAGATTCAGTAATACGAGCTTAAAAGGTAACAGCTATATTAGTAACCCCTTGGAAAACTTTTACAGAGAGAACAGAACTAACTGGAGCATTTAATAGCTTTTCACATCTAGTATGACTTTAAAATTCACCTCCAATTTCCAACTACAGCAACAATGCTGAAAACAAAATGCTAGCTCCCACACCGTAAAATTCTTCCATCATAGTCCTCATTTTCCATGGCTTTATTTCGAGTGTTAAATGGCAGAGCTTATTTCTTCAATGTGTATATTTCTTAGGACGCCACTTGTAGAGGTGACACTTGTTTTACAAGAAAGAGACTCAAGTGGTGAACTCTTGCATGAGGAGGAACTGCCAAACACTTCAGCAACAGACACAAATTCCTAGTGAGGGAAAGTAAGCATGTGCCAGCATTCAGGACTTGCATTTTTTTTAATAAGTGAAATTTATGTGCACCAGCAAACTTTTGGGTATTGTTCTTCCCAAACTAAACTGTTCCTTCTAGCCTCATGTTTACTGAAGCTGAAAATTAGAACTGACAGCAATTCACTGCAACAAAGTGGGCTTCTTTCCCTGCCTGCCAGTAGCCCATATCCCATTCATGCCCTAGAAATCTAGTCATCTCTTGACACTCATCTGCCAGGAGAAGAAAAATAGGGCAGGGAAGGGGCCTTGTCACTGTGGCATAGAAGCTCAGAGCAACCTACTGGTTTGTTCCTGGTGCCTCTCCTTGGGACCTCACCTCTGCACTGCTGGTACTCTCTCTCGTCTTCCCCGCGTGTGTCAGACACCTCTGACGAAAGCCCATCCAGGGCTTGCTTGCACTCCTGCAGCAGCGCAGCCACGGCTTTTTGATTATTCATGATGCCTGCTCCCACTCTGCTGTGAATTGGGTGTCCCCGGGTGCGCGGTGATCAATTACCTAGGAGAAGACACAAATTCTAAATGAAAAGGATCCCTTCAAGGCTGAGGTACCTGGTGAACAAAAGAGGGGGAAGATGATTAACTAAAGCATCATCAATTATCTGTGAGACTCAAGCAGGGAGAGATAATAGGGGAAATACATGAAAATACATGACAGCCTCTGAGGACTTTATTAGAGGAGTGTGTGAAATTACTGCAGGGTCTCTGTGACAAACTGTGCAAGGCAAACATCTCCGGGGTACCAGAGAGCAGAGAGAAATGACCCCCTTTTCAATGGAGCCATAACATCACAGGCAGTGAAGTGACTAGCCAGGGTGCACTGAATCCCTTTGCACATAGGAGACTCATGCAGTCAAGTGCTTTTGGTCTGAACTGCACTGCAGACCTTTTAATGCAGGCTTCACATTTTTTGGAGAGCCTGCTGGGTGACA